TTTTTTTTTAATCTAAGTTATGTAAATTTAAATTTTTTTCCAGAATGACCTCGTAGTTGGGGCTATTATAATATAAAATTTGTTTTTGATGATTGATGTAAAAAATTGTTTATTCATTTTCTGGATTGCAAAATTAAGTGTATTAATTAGTGATTTTATTACGTTTAACTGTAAATTTAAAGATATTAAAAGATTGTTTTTAAAGAAATATATCTGATGCTAATTAAGAGAAACTTCTTATCGGTTAATTGCAATAAAGAAAATATAAGTAAAGCTCTAGTTTCAAATATATAAGCAGGAAATTTTAATCTATTTTTTTCTGTTTGCTATTATTTTTATGTTATTATAAAATACCCCTACCAAAAATTGCTATTAGTTGACTACTGGTACCATCAAAATTTTATCTAAATTTTGAGGTTATGTTCGTTTTTTGGTTAGGCGAATTTGAAGTTATGTTTGTCGCACATAGCCTCAAACCCAACGGTCCCATGAACTATGTCCTTGAATTTTGAGGTTATGTTTGAACTAAGGCCTTGAATCCTTGAAACCTATGCCCCAGAATTTTTAGGTTATGTTTTATCTCTGACCTTGAATCCTAGAAACTATGCCCTTGAATTTTAAGGTTTTTTTGATCATGTAATAAAGTAGGACCTTGAATTTTGAGGTTATGTTTGTTTTAATACTATAGATATATGGGTCGTTACATGTCAATTCGCCTGTGAGTTTGAGGTTAAAATCAGAACTAAAATACTAATATAGGTATACGTATGGAATAACCCATTCCTAACCTAACCTAACCTTGTCAAAAACATGAGTTGGGTACACTCAACATGTAATGATGCATAATGGAGACAGCGGCGAAATCTTTTTATATGATAAAGAGAGATATAATATTATATAAAATTTTATAACTTATTTTTCTTATAATAATTTTATTATTGATTGTCGTACCTATATTATATTTCTTAATCTTAGTTTTTGAATATTCGATTAATATATTTTATAATGTAAAAGCAATTAAATAAAAAAAAGAAAATTTGGTAATACCATAATTTATAAATAAAATGAGAGTATATATCTATATCAATAAAATTATAAGAAATAAATGCACGTGTTTTTTTTTATAATGATCTATTAAGATCTATAATGATCCATAATGATCTTTCTAACGACCTTTAAATCATTTCTTTAATATTGTAAATTAACAAAATCTTAATCTTCAAAGTTTGACTCGTATAATATACATAACAAATGATTGAAGACTTCAATAATGTAAACATATTTACTACCTGTTTTAATAATCATCGTATTTATAAATAACTAATTTTGCAATAAACTTCTTGTATAACGTTTATAATGTCAATCACTCTCTTTGAAGCATGTGATAATCGATGATCAAGCTATAACTCTTAATAATACATGAACTATATCTTTTATAAATTATGACCATACGAACAAGCTTCATATATATGTTGTATGTACCTAATTTCATTTCTTTTCCTTTCTTTTTTGTGAATAGCACTTAAAGTGAAATATAGTTCAAATAAGAAAATTAAACTCCAATTTAAAGGTATAGGAAATTAGAATATAAACGATCGAAATAATCGTTTAAATGTATCTTTTGTGGTATTATAAAAGGTTTTTTTTTTATTTTGTTCCTCAAAATAAATATATAAATAATAATATTAATTTTATAATTATATTTCTACTTTATTTTTTTATCTCTTTAGTTTAAATGTATATTCTATATCGATTACTGTGAAACGAAAATTTTTTCCGTTATCCACTTAAGGGGATAATCATTAAATGGCTTTCCTAATATAGAATAGTTATTATACCCTTGAATCATAATTAAAATTGAAAAAATAAAAAATGCCGGAACGATTAGTGATCTAAAGTAGAATTAAAACAAAAGAAAAAATTTAAAGTGAGAAGAAAATAACTTTTTTTTTTGAGAATTCATTTCTTATGTATCGGAAATTTTGCTTTTTACCATATTTTCTACGATTCAAAACTTCTTTTACAAAATTTAAAAATACTTGACTATTATAATATAAATATTTACTTGAACCAAATAATTTTTATTTGAATTAAATAAATTCTAATTGAACCAATAAAATCTCTACTTGAAAGAAATACCATTTAATTGACTCAAATATAACAATTGTTTCGTTTAAGGAAATATTTATTTGATAATAGTCATGTAATCGATTATTGGAATGAAATAACTTTTTTTTTTCAGTATAGTTAACTATAGATACTAAATATTTAAATAAAATCTTTCTTAGTGTACATTTTGGTAATAAAACTGATGAATAGCTAGTAACATGTGGAATAGTTAAATAATTTTGATACAACATCTGATGGTGTTAATACGTAATAAAATAATAGTTAAAAAAAGTATAAACAAACATAAGAAAATGAGGTATTAAAATTTTTAAAAAATTAGAGTAAAGACATTTTCAATATTTCCAATATTGATATAATAATACTAATAATAGTAATAATAATAATAATAATAATAATAATAATAATATAGATATTTTGACTATAAAATAAAAAAAAATAACATAAGTGTAGTTACATTTTTTTATACAAAACCCTACAAGAAAGTGTTTAATTGCGTTTAGTAGTGTTTTAGTAGTGTTTAATAATAATTTTAAAAACAAAATTTGTCCTTTCAATAAATTCTTTTATTATAGGGTCAGCCGGGGTAAATCCGAACGCTTTTTAGTAAGTTTCAACAATAACATAAGTTTTTTCTTTTAAAAGACAATACTTCCGGTATTCTGGTGCATGAAGTTGTTACTTCACTTGCATATAGAACAATATTATGGGGTAGCAAAAATTTTTGATAAATTACAATCGCAGGAAACTTAGCGTTCGTATTTACCTCGATACTTTGCAACCTTCCTAAAATACCGGGGTAAATACGAACGCCACTGTATTTCAGAAAAATCTTAGGGAAAATAAATTTAAAGTATTGCAATTGTTAAACTTATATAAAAACTCAAAAAAAATACGATAATAAACCTATTATGTAATAATGCATCATATATATAAATACAAAAATCAAACAGGTTAGAAATAAAAATGCATTACACAATTAAAACCTTTAATAACTTTATCAAATCATAACGGATTTTTGCAAAACTTGGTACAGAAAGTATTTTGGAGTGATTGAATGTAAATACAAAAATAAAAGTCAAATTTTTTAAATTCAAAATGGCGGACTTTCCTAAAACTTATTTTTAAAAATGATCAAATTTGCTAACTCCAAATTCGTAATCAGCGACCCTGAAACCCCCCGAGTAACAATTTTCGAGCGAATCCAATGAATTTTTTAATTTTCGTCCGCCATTTTGAATTTTGAAAAACTGACTTGAAATTGGTAATCAGCGACCCCAAAAACCCTAGAATACCAAATTTTATTAAGATCCTGAAAAACTTTTTTCAACAAACCATTTGGCAAAAAAAGTGGAACACTCCTTCGGGAGAACAGAGATTAAGTTTCTGCTTATTTAATTACTAACGAGGATACGTATAGAAAAAAAAACTTTTTTCTATGTACTTTTATAATGTTAAAATAATAGTGTAATCAAATAAAAACAATTTTCTGTGGCTCTGATATAAGAAAAAATTATTGAAAATACCGTTCGGATTTACCCTGGTTTTCCAATTTTCCGGGGTAAATACGAACGGTCTGATATTATTAATAAAATTTTACAGAAGGCAAAAATGAAAAATAGTTTCTGTTCTAGTTTTCATAACAAACAATTATAAATAATAAAATAAATTTTTAGCTTCTTTTTCTTCAAATACGAGACAAAATACTGAAAGAGTGTCATCCTTGATTTTCAATCTTTTTTGCAATACTCGTTATCTTTGTTTATGCTGTTGCTAATTAACAAACGAAAAATGGGATAATACTTAGAATCTCTTTTGAAGAGGATTTGAGGTAAAAATTCTCATGTCTAACTTATTTTTTAAAATTTTAATTAAGCTGAAATAATTAGCGTTCGGATTTACCCCGGCTGATCCTATTAAAGTTATTAGTGACCTACGGACATAAAAATTTATCTTTTCTTTAAAATTTTAACTAAAACATTAACTCGTCTAAATCTGAATTACACAAAAAAACCTGGTCTCAAAATGAGTAACGTCCGCTACTCATTTTGAAGTGTAACAAAAATGAGCCAGGTTGGTGGCGCCACTGTCTATGTCGTTTAGCATTGGCTCATTTTGAGTTGCAACAAAAATGAAACTAAGTTTTTTCTGTGTTAGGTAGTGAAAAATGAGCTACTAATTCAAATTAGTAAGAATTTTCACTAATTATGGGTCAATTTCACCAACTCTGATTAAAAGTTAATCAGTGATTAAAGCCAATTTAAGCGCTCATTACACGGAGAAAAATGGAAAAACGAATAAAGTAACTTTTACTACTTTAAAAGTAAAATTGGACCTGTCCGAAGTTTCTGCGCATCTCTGGCAACTTTTACTCGAAAAATAGTAAAATTGACTATTTCTGTAGTAAATTTTACTGTTTCCGTAGTAATTTTTACTATTTCTGAAGTAAATTTTACTATTTTTGGAGTAAAAGTTGCCAGAGATGCGCAGAAACTTCGGACAGGTCCAGTTTTACTTTTAAAGTAGTAAAAGTTACTTTTTCTTTTTTTCCGTGTATTGATCGGTTAGGGATTTAATCGCTGATTAACTTTTAACCGAAGTTGGTGAAACTGGCCCTAAATAAGTAAAAAAAAATTTAAACTACTAAATCAAATAGTATAATATTTTATTAATAATTTGTAAAAATTCTTACTAATTTTTTTCACTACATAATTCAAATTTAGAGAGAACTATATTAAAAATTGACTAGTGGCGCAGTATTGGTGTACTATATTATGTTAGGCGAGTTTAATAATTTTTTTTTTTTATCACTTTCATAAAGAATTTCAATTAATAATTTGAAAACAAATGAATTTAAAATATGAAAGAAATACCTGCACTTTGAGGTTACTGTTGAAGGCACTAAGAGGGGTTTTAATGAGTGGCTTTGAAGTATCAGATGACTCGAGATGTTCTTCTCGCGGTTTAAAGCAATTTGAACAAAGCTCCTTTTTCCAAGCATTTTGCACAAAGTGTCTGCATTGCGCCGACATTGTTGTTATCCTGGAGTACTGAGGATGTTCCCGTTATATCTTCATTCTGTAAAGGAAAGAGAAGGTTCGATAATTGGTCGACCTTAGAAGGTAACACGATTTTAAAGCGCTCGTGCACATTGCATTGCACGTAATTCACAACAGCAATGAGGGATTGCGTCGTGTCGTTTATTATAGACCAGTGTGCATACATTTACTATAGAGTCACTTGTCTAATATCCGATTTATTCACTCAACAAGCTGATCCTCGATTATTCAACGAAATTATATCATTATTTTGTTATCCCCAACCAAGGTCATTCAGAAGGTTTATAATTAATTTGCTATTAGTCTTTTTTTTTTAATGCGGAGACAATATTCGGTTCTAGTTTTATTATATAATGTTTCTAATTTTGCAATTAAAAAAAAAAATATATATATATATATCTGTATACCGATTTGTATTGCAAAAAGTTATTATTTTTGAAAAGAAGTGATTAATTAATTAAAAATAATAATTTTATTTACTTATTTGTGATTAGATTTTTTATTAATTTAAATTTATCAATTAATTGATAAAAAGTATATTTTATTTAAACTTAAAGCTTAGTTTTGAATAGATTTATGTAAATTTCCAATGGAAATAAGTAGAACTTCCGAAATATGACTTTTATCTTTATATTTTTCTACACCTGCCTCACCCTGCTTTTTTTCTATTCTAGTTTCCCGCCCTGTATCGAAAAAAGCTACCATTCCCTGCAAAATGTCACAATTCGGATGTTCCACTGATTATATTTGCCAATTAGATTTTTACATGATTCTTAAGGTACGGTCACACGACTTTTGGAAAAACCATTCATGTCTTTCTCTCTCCTAAGACAGAGGCATAAGATTGTCTCACTCTGCATTTTCTTACATTTCCCAAAGACGGAAAATGCAGAGTGAGACAAACTTATGCGTCTGTAATAGGAGAGAGAAAGACAAGAATGGTTTTTCCAAAAGTCATGTGACCGTACCCTTAACCTAAAAATTATTCTTCGGTTATATCGTTCGAAGATGATTTTAAGTTAAAGTTTATTTTGTGTATATTAAATTTATTTGTATTTTTATTCAAAGTGTGCAGTAATAAAATAATGTACTAGATAATTAATTTAATAATAATTAATAATATTAAAATAATAATTTCAATTATAATTTTTTTATTATTTGTAATTTTTTTCTTTTTAGTGAGGTACCCCAAACAAGTTACAACAGAAATCGTCAAAAGAAGCAATTTGAGGGTTGAAATTGTTTCCGCTTTCTTCAGAGTATATTTTTTTAAAATACATTATTATTTCTTATTACGATGCTAAAATTAATTATTATAATTATACAGACAGGTTTCTTTGAATTGTCGATAAAAAAATTTATAAAGAATCAAATAAAATTTAATTCAATGACACATAATGATATTTTCAAAGTAAACTCTCTATTTTCTCATATATATATTACATCATAAACTTTTAATTTTTATATATGAGAATTTTTTCACCTTCAGGTCAGGGAGTTTTCTCAGGAGTGATTATAAACTTTATATTTTCTTTTTATATGAGCTTCTGAAGGCATTGACGTGAGTCTAAAGGATGCTTAACTTAGATGAAAATTGCATGTTGCTAACGTAAATTGTAAAGTCATTTATTATAGTTGCAAATATTGTTGATGATTGTATATTTAAGAAAAAGGTGTGGTTTGTCTCATATATATATAAGAGAGTAAAAAGCGAAAAATATTATTAAGATTATGCACTTCTTTATAATATTGGTAAAAATTAAAACTTTCTCTTGTTAAAGAAAAGCTATAAAATAATTAGAATTTTTTTAAAATTATAATTAAAAAATATCCCACACAGCACATAAAATTTCCTGAATTTGTCCTGAATATTTCATTGAAAGACTCGAAATATTTCAATGAAAGGTTCATGAAATTTTGATGCAAGCAATGAAATGTCCGCCAATAAGAAATATTGCAGTTCCGATTGTACGAAAAATTTCAGCAAAATGTTCGCAGGAAATGTGAGGATGAAAAATTACTGACATATTATTTTTTAATATTTGCAAAATAAAAAAATGAAATATGTTACAAATTTTTAAGTGAAATATTTTGAAAAGATTATTCATTAAAATTCTAGAAATATCGTAAGGAAATATTTCTAAATTGTTATAAAAATACATATTTAGGTAATATCATCCGGATATATTTGTGAAAAATTGAAAATGACAAAAGGTACATATGAACCGATCGCCGGAAAGACGGCATACGTCGATTTAAGACATTTTGAGATATGTTAAATTTAAGATTCATTTGTAAGTTATAATTTAAGGCATTATTATCGAAAATTTTTTTCTTTTACAAAGGTTTACTATCGATCAACTAATTTTGTCACATATTTGCACAATCACTACCGCAATTTATTTCTGTAATTCATTTTTTTTATTTTTCACAAATATATCCGGATGATATTGCCTAAATATGTATTTTTAACAATTTAGAAATATTTCCTTTCGATATTTCTAGAATTTTAATGAATAATCTTTTCAAAATATTTCACTTAAAAATTTGGGTAACATATTTCATTTTTTTATTTTGCAAATATTAAAAAATAATATGTCAGTAATTTTTCATCCTCACATTTCCTATGAACATTTCGCTGAAATTTTTCGTACAATCGGAACTGCATAATATTTCTTATAGGCGGACATTTCATTGCTTGCATCAAAATTTCATGGACCTTTCATTGAAATATTTCGAATCTTTCAATGAAATATTCAGGACAAATTCAGAAAATTTTATGTGCTGTGTGGGATGTCTCATTACAAAACCTAGTAAAATAATCATTTAGGTTAGTTTTACAAGAGAAAAACTTGTTTTTTAAGTTTAAACATTCCAAATAGTAATTTTAGATATTTATGTAATGCAATCTACTAAATACTTTTTCAAATTATATTTGTTCTGTTTAAACTTCTGAAACATATTTTCAAACAAGTTTTTCTCCCCCTCAAAAATTAACCTAAATAATTTTACTTAATTTTAAGTTTTATCTTTTTTTTTTCAAAAAATGAAAAATGCGAAAATAATATAGAGGACGCATGATTAGGTTCTAAAAATCATTGGTTAGAATTTTCATTTTATGGAATTTCATTTGTCATAATTATTTTTGAGCCGAATTTTTATTTGTTCGAATTAATATTTTGCAGAATTTTCATAAAACTGATCACAATATTATGGATAATTTTTAATTGGTTAATTTTAAAAATCGCGCCGAAATCTTTCTGTCAATTTGTTTGTTCGGCCATTTGCAATTTCGGACAAATGAAAATTCTATCAATTACAAATTCTGTTAAATGATTTTTCGGTTAAATAAAAATTCTGAAGTATGAAAAATCGGTTATATGGAAATTATATGAAAAATTCTTTAAAATGCCTATTATGTTAAATGAAAATTCGAGCAAATAAAAATTCGAACAAATAAAAATTCGGCTCAAAAATAATTATGACAAATAAAATTCCATAAAATGAAAATTTTAACAAATTATTTTTAGAATGTATAATCATGCGTCCCCTTATGTAATCTAGCAGTGCTAGCTAGCGCCATGAATTTTTTCTACCAGGATCTATAAATAAATAAAAATTTCGAATATTTGATTGTTAGGTAAACAATTTTTTTATATAAAAAATTATAAATATATTTATAAGACGAAAGATGCTACTATATCATGGGCGTTGAAGTCAAAGTACACTTTCCTGTCGACGACATCATGAGCATTGTGATGAACGCATAATCACATCAATTGAGTGGCGGCTGCAAGTCTGAGTAATTGCTATGCTTCCGGTCTTGCTCTTATATTCGCGACTATTTCTTTGTTTCGACTTGAATGCAACTGTATCGCAATTGCAAAATACACACACGTCACAAGTAATACGACAAAATAATGTGTATACGATCTGCATAAGTAACACTCGCACACAATATTGCTCTCGTTTTGCAATATAAAAGAGAGTGAATGGCAGTGAGAATTCAGCAAGGTTAACACTTTTACCATGGTCAACTTGTCATTTATCACGCGAGAATCAAAGTCGACAAGAAATATGAATTTTCATGGTGTTTTTTATTTTTACAAAAATATAATTTTGTGAAATATTATAAGTAGAAAATATCATGTTCAAGAAGTGTGCGCGCGTATTCCATAACATATCTTGATTTTAGTATATAGTCATGTATATTTGAGGACTGAGAAAAACGTGTGGGTAAATTACGCATTGGCGTAAGTGACCTGAGTAGAATTTGCTTCCGTTGGAGGTACCGTTTTCCAATCTCGCAATGACCCGTTATGGTGGACGAATTTCTGAAACGTTCCAGCAATTAGTGACCATCTGGCGATGTCTTTTTTTCCTATTGTCTGATGAAGTGGTCATGCAAAAAAAAGAAAAGAAAAAAAAAACGGAAAAAAATACTAACAATACTACGCGATGATTATGGGAGAGATCATATTTACTGTAAATCGTAATCAATTTTCACGTTTGTTTTAGTTTCTTCGCACTTAGAGAAAAGAATTCTTAATTTAAATAATTATAGAGATCCGTTTTGAACGATTTTGTTAAATTTAACACAGTTTGTAAGTTTAATTTTAATATATGAAAAATTTCTCTCATTTTCATCACAAAGATATTATATTTGTAAAATCCAGTAGAACGTCCGAAATATGCTAGATATTTATATTTTTTACACCTGCCTCACCCTGATTTTCTCTATTCTAGTTCCACGCCTGTTCCTGTTTCCATTGTCGCCAAAATCCCCACTCACCATTTTTCATAATTCTCGTCATTTACCGCACCCTGCTTTAGTGAAAATTTAGTAACTTTTAATTTTAACAATAAAGTCACTAAAATTTCACTAGAGCAGAGTGCGGTAGTTCACAAAAATTATGACAAATGGCGAGTGGGGACACAATGGAAACCAACCTACCATTCCCTGCAAAGTGTCGCAATTCGAATGTTCCACTAATTATTTTATATTTATTGTCAATAAGGTTGGTTCTTGAAGACAATTTTCATGACAAATTAATTTTCCGTAAATTTTTATTTGCGTTAAAAACCATTTTTAAGGTTATGTTAGAGCCACCTTGCTCCTTAAGGAGATTCAACATAACCTCAAACTAAAAAGTAGTTTTTAACAGAAGTAAAAATATATTTAAAATTGATTTCACTCAAATATTCGAAAAATCCGGTTATGGAATTTTCAAAAAAAAAAAATTCTTTTGAGCTAAAATTTGTTGTTAAATAATAATTAATAAACATATTGTGTTATTCAAAATAATTGAAATTATTTGAAATTATTCATTAATTTAAACAATATTTTTGAGAGATGAATTGTTATCGGTCAATGAATCTGAATAAAGTACAAATTCATTTGAAGCAAGCAAGATAGATTTGAATCAAAGCAATTCTTTATAATTGGATCAATTGTATATTTTATCTTTATTTCAACTCTTATTCATTGATGTCAGAGTCACATATATTGAAAGACGCGCAGCATCTTGTAGAGGACTATCAGTTTAAAGAGAAATGCACATCATGTGTGCATTAAATGTTTCCTCATTAATAATCATTACATTGAAGATTCATCTTCATACATAGATACTAAAAGGGAGGGATATTGCCGCATTTTTATACTGTATATATATAAATGCCACATCAAATACGTGATTCATTTAAAATATATATCTATTTTATAGAGAAGTTTAGATCCCAAATCTCGATAACTTGTTAAATGTTCTCTTCAACTACTGCTACACCTTACATAATTTATGTACTTTTATCTAAAAAGTATATCATGGTCGATTTCACATGAAATTTACCTATGACCTTTTAAATTTGAATAAATATTTTTTTTCGTTCTTTAAATATAGAAAAAAAAATTTGTAGGGTAAAATGCACTAATTATGGCGCGATTCGAGTCAATCCACTTGGAAAGATTCCCCAGCCAGTGCCCCCTGGAGGTTCTATCAGAATTCCGCCGGAACTTCCAACGTAATTCCGTCGGAATTCCATCGGAGTTCCAAATAATTTCCGATGGGATTCCGACGGAATTCCGATTAATTTTTTCAAAATTTTTAGAGTCCTAATTCCGTCAGAATTTCGATATAATAATTATATTATTCCTTTACAAAATAAAATTATTCTTCTTAAAGTTATTTGTTTATTAAAAAAAAAAATCTATCCTTGTCAATCTTATTTAATTCGATATGGTGAGATAAATCATATTTTCCAAAATGTATATTTTCGATTATTAGATTGTAATAATATTATGTTTATATACTTTGCAATTAAAAATGAAAATATT